GCCTTGTGGGACACCATTTTTAAGAGGTCTTGGGTTCGACCACACACCATCAACGACCACTCTCTGTATTCTGTCCTCCATGTAGGATTTCAAAAGGGCAACACTACCCTCACTAAATTTATAATAGTCGATTTTTTTAATGAGCAACTTGTGAGACACACAATCGAAGGCTTTACTTAAATCGCAAAATACCGCGCCAACATGTTCCCTACCCTCAAAGCCATCCAAGATGAATGACACGAGGTCCAGAATAGCCAGCACAGTGCTGCGTCCGGACCTGAAGCCGAACTGTTGGTCGTTCAGCAATAAATTCTCTTCAAGGAATAACGCCATTCTTGAGGCCATACATTTCTCAATGATTTTTGAAAAAACAGGAAGCAGTGAAATCGGACGATAATTAGATATATCATTCTTGTCCCCCTTTTTGAATACGGGTACAACAACAGCCTCCTTGAGACAACATGGAAAAATGCATTCCCTAAAGCACAAATTAATTATTTTTGTTAGCGGTATAAGGATAAGCTCCCTTATCATCTTTATAATCCTAACACTGAACCCAAATTTGTCACGCGAATCTTTATTTTTTAAGTTAAGTATTACGTCCCTGACCTCATTAAAACCCACATCTCCGAACTTGAATTCCTCATCCGGCAGATGAGTAATCCGAAATGGAATATCTTGTGTAGAACACTGTCCATTTCCGACCAAGACATCCGCCACACTAGAGAAAAAATCATTAAATGCATCGGGACCAATTGTCATTGAGATATTTTGTTTCTGCTTGTTTCACGGTTGTTATTCACGATTTTCCAAATACTTTTTGACTTATTTGTTGAGTTAGAAATAAGTCTATCATTATATTCCCTTTTCGCGACTTTAATTGCCCTTCGATACTGTTTTTTAAAGCAGTTTCTATTGTCAAGCAGTTCTTGGGATGGGTATTGTTTAAAAAGATCATTAAGAAAACACAGATGTTCTCGCATTTCCCGCAGTGTGTCATTAAACCAAGGAAACATAGTTTATATGACATTCGAACAATTTAATTTTTGAAATAGATAGCCACATTTTTGCTCTTTATGGCACAGTTGCTGTCGTAATCACTGAATTTGACGTTTAGGCTATACACATATTTTTGACAGGCAGTTTTTTTCCTCCCAAAAAGTTAAATTTTTTTTTCTCAAAAACGGTTAATGTTAGGTATAGAGTGTTTGATATAAAAATTCATGAAATTTTACAGAGAATTTAAGTATGTTATAAAAATGGGGGTACCCATTTAAAATAAGAAAGTTGCTGTCAACTTCCGGTATTTCCGGAAGCGCCGCCATATTGAAAATATTTTTAATCGATAGATCTCGTTGTAAAACAATGATATGCAAAAAATCTCCGATCTAGATGTTGTGGTTCTCTAGAAACTTCTAATGCACGCTTAGCCTGGGACACCCTGTATACGTATTATTATTTATAACTAAATAAAAAATTAATAAATAAATATAGAGAAAAAAGTCATCGGTAGCTCATAGGTATTTATTTAGAAAAATATTCTAGTGATAACCCATATGCATGTCCCTGGTGAACATGTTAACACTTTTTCAGCACTAAAATATGAAATATGTAGTACTTATAGTATCTTTTACCTTCAAAATTTCATTCGAATCGCTAAAAGCACTTGAAAGCAAATTTAAATAAATCGAGAAAAAATGACTTTAAACCCCCGTCGCTACAAAACAAAGCCGAATCGAACTTATGTTAATATAAAAAGTAAATCTTATTTTTACATGAAATATCTCCCCACAAGAGATGGAATAGATTTTTTGAAACATCCTATATGTATAATGTAATCCTTACAGAGTTTAAATGGCTTCACAATTATTGCTTTACATCGCTTTACAATCACTTTTACAACATTAATTACAATCAATGTTGTAAATTTCAAAACTATTAAAGCGTAATATTCAAAGCTGACTTGTGAATATACCGTGTGCGTCTCAAAAATGGTTCACCCCCTATAACTGTTTTATTTTTTCAGATAAAAGTACGAGATTTGGTATGTGATATATGACATAAATTAGGATTGATTGACGTATTCAATTGTTTTTGGTCTTCCTGTTTCACCGGAAATATCTACAACTTTTGTTTTTTATAAAAAAACCGGCCAGGGCAAGACACCAAAAAACATTAGGTTATCAGATCTATTTTTCCAAGGCTTCTTGATTAAAATAGTGTTTTTTAACACAGCCATGGTACTCTAGATTGAAATTTAAAATTCTTTTTTTTTGTAAGCAAAAATGTCAAATGTTGACATATGATATGTCATTCTATTGGAAGTGTCATTTTCTATCGAATAAAGTAAAAATATTCCGAGGGTGTCATTTGCAATTGCAAGTCAATTAACTGAAATAGATATACGTAACTGGTTTGCGGAAGTTTCAAACTATTTTCAGGAAAATAACTATACAGAAATTTTATAAAATGGATATCGCATCTTCAATGCTGATGAGACGGCTATTGCATTATGTCCTAAAACGGGAAAAGTGTTGGCGCCAAAAATATTTATGATGTATCCAAAACCTCGGAAAAGGATAGCCTGACAGTCTTACTGTCAGTTGCAGCCTCTGGCAAAATGGCACCACCGATGGTGGTATATCCTTATAAAAGAGTTCCTTCAGATATAGTGACTAATTTCCCAAAAACTTGGGGGTTAGGTAAGTCCGATTCTGGATGGATGACTGGTGAGGTTTTTTTTGAATATATGGCAAATATATTTGAGCCATGGCTAACAGAAAACAATATAGAACGCCCAGTTATATTTTTTGTGGATGGGCACAGATCCCATTTAACGTTAAACTTGAGTCTCTTTCTGCGGGAAAAACAAATTATTTTAGTAGCATTCTATCCGAATGCTACTCATATTCTGCAGCCTCTAGACGTGTCAGTATTTCATCCATTAAAATGCAAATGGAAAACATATATCAGAAAGTGGTTAACAGAGCACAAAAACCAACAAATAATGAGACAGGACGTTGCCCCTATTCTAGAAAATATTCTAAAGGATTCAATATTACCACAGATTATTACAAGTGGTTTTCGAGTGTGTGGACTATTCCCATTAGATCCCAATAATGTGGACTATTCAAAAATTATACAAAGACCAACAGAAAGCAATAACAAAGACGGCAAAACATCTAATAAGAAGAATCATTCAGTTCAAGAAATAAAAAATTGTTTAAACATTCTAGAAGCCAATATTCCGCTTCATATACTTAAAGCGATAAAATCAAATTCTGGGGATGAATGGAAGGGACCTGAATCATCAAAGGATTTGTACGCTCTTTGGAAAAAATTATTAAAGCTGACAAGTAAATCAGTGCCAATTGAAATTGAAAATATAACTGTAGACACAGAAGAAAATATTAAAGCCCGGTTGATGTTCCGCAAGAAGATCAGGACGGAGAATTACAACAAAATGATGAGGCCCAAGCACCCGAATATGAAAGAAATATTTACCATACTCCAGACATAACAGTTCCCTCTACTTCAAAAGCGACTATTCCTTTTGAACTAAATAGTATGTATTACCAACCGCATTTCCAAACAGATGATAAACCAATTGAACAAATGTTAATAGAAACTAATACACAGTCAACTGAATCACCTTTTAAGAAATACCTATTTTTTCCCAAAGAGGAACTAAAAAATCAGAAAAGAATAAAAGAAAGATCACGTTCAGTCATCACATCTGACTATTGGTTAAGCGAACAGCAGAAAAAAGAAGAGCTGAAATTACAGAAAGAAGAGTCAAAGCTAACCAGAAAACGAACCAGAGAAGAGAAACAAAAAGAAAAAATTAAAAAAAATCAAGAAAAAAATGCAGGGCGGTCAAAAACAAACAGAAAAAAATTAAACACAATAATGTGGAAGAAAATAAACTAGACTGGAAGTGTTACAAATGTAAAGTATTTTGGAGAGATCAGCATTTTTTGGAAAGGAAAGCAAAATGGTTTAGCTGTATTAGTTGTTCAAATAAGATACACAGAATTTGTGTTCCAACAAAACATATAAATACACTAGGACTTGGTATTTCTGATTCTGAAGATGAATCGGAGTTTGTATGTGAAGACTGTGGAATCACTTTAGACAGTAGCGATAGTGATATAAGTGAAAGTTGGGATAATGTAGAAGAAGATTTGTAGGTGTCTTAAATTCCAAGGCTAGATATGTATATCAGAAAAAATACTGATGTTATGGTATCATGTCAGGCGTACTTTATAAATTAGAAGTTAAATTATTTTTTACTGTGGTTTACATTTTTTACCTTTACAAGTACAAATCATATTGTCAATACAATGTTGTTTTCTTCCATGTACTAACCATAAGTAGTATGTAATGATTTGAAATCTTTTGAATATTAATAAATGTGAGCAAAAAATCGATTAATAGTTTTATTTCGTAAATCAATTAATATTGAATAGATTTGAAAAAAAATCTTCAGTATCCCAATATCTTACTTAAAAATATCCTTATGAAAATCACTTTAGAAAGTCACGTCCATTACTGGATCTATGACTGTCCAAACTAGGATCTAACAAAAAATTGTGTGTCCATTTTTGGGGTAGTGGGCATCCAAAATCCAATATTTTTTAATAACAATATAATTCAATTTTTGAAGATTACATGCCTTGGGCAATTAAAGAGCAGATTATGAACTTGAATTATATATATGAACAAACCACACTAACTTTATTCGTATGTACGAGTATTATTCATGCAATTACAAATTTCATGAAGCTTAATGTGGCCATTATTGGTTCCACTACCCTAATTTCCAGTGAAACAGAAAGTGACCAAAAACAATTGAATACGTCAATCGATCCTAATTTATGTTATATACTAACACACCAAATCTCGTTTTTTTTTTATCTGAAAAAATAAAAAAGTTATAGGGGTTAGCCACTTTTGAGACGCACTCGGTAGGGTCCCTAAAGAAACAGTGGTATACTTACAAGGAATCTAGTATCGGGACAAGATCCAGTAGGTCCAGAACATTGAGACTTGTCTTCCAGGTAGTAGTCTTGAGCGTATCCTTTCAGGGTATTCTTGTCGACCCAGGCGACAACAACATCGCCCCCAATCATTTCACTCTTTGACTCTTCTCCAGATAAACCAAAGGACATGTATTCTCTATCATCTGCAATAAATAATAATATTAACTGTTGTTTTGCAATCAGTGAGAAGGTTTTTCGATATTGCGATTCTTTGATATTATATATGTTTCTAATAGTTATTTTTCATACAAGACGATAAATTAAATTAATTTCGGGAGACGCTAATGCAATTTTATTGTCGTGTATAAAACAATATTTAGTTTTTTTTTATTTTTTATTTAGAGTTACGTTTTAAAAAATATTCAGAAATTATTATTTCGAGGAATGTATTACGAGTGGAAAAAATATTGTGCTGGGTTGGCGTTGGTTTCTATGTTATTTGACACAAAAATAAAGCAGAGAGAAACTAATAACTAAAGTGAGAGGCAAACTACTTCCATTTAAATCCCGAATAACTTATGAAAAGGAATACAAAAATTTTCAAAAATGGAAGCAATTAAAAAATGTGCGAGAAGAAATAAAGTTTTTAACCTATCCTCGCTGTTAAAGTATCATTTAATCTACCCTTGCGGTTAAAGTACTATTTTATCTACTCTTTTTGATAAATATAAGGTGCTAAGCTTTTTGATAGATATACAATTTTAACAGTTGCTATGGAAAAAAAAAATATTTTTTTATCCTTTTTTATTTTTTATCAAAAAATAGCACCTAAAATTGACATGCTAGTTTCTGAAATCCCAATAATAAAATCCAAGTTTTACAAGCGACTTGAACTTTAGCACTCTGAGATCTAAAATCTTAAAGTTAGAAATGCTCTCCTCAATTCCTTGTTTTCGTTTTTTCAAATTGAATTGTCCCTTCGCATCGTACTGAAATGTATTCTTGGAAGATTCTCCCTCGAAATGGACTGTTAAATGTAAACGATTTCTCGAACTGATTCAAAATAAACTCAAGTTTCGAGGGATTTAATTTAATCTCTTTAAAGTAGTAAGTCAGCTTTTTTATATTTTTAAATCTTAAAGGGATGTTCTATTTTTTATAAGGGAACTTTAAAAGTATTTCAAAGTATATTATTTTAATAGGTTAAAAAGGAACTTTTTTTTATTAAATTATATAACATTAAAGATTTTCAATGTTCAGTGAATAATACAGATTGTTATTAACGTAATTCATAAACAGAGCTGCAACAAGTCAATTTTAAAAAGACTATTACGGTTAGAGTCGATCTCAGGGGTCGGGTAAAGCGGGTGTGTGGCCGAAGGAAATATATATTATATTTCAGAAATCTGCCTAAGGGTACGTTTATGTTGGAGCTGCGATAAACGATAAAAGCAGTGAATTAGCGCTGCTCTTATCGTTGCTCAACTGCTAAGCGTGTCTCGACGCGTTGCTCCAATATAAACACCTTCTTCTTCTCTTCTCAGCCATTACTCATCCACTGCAGAATGTAGGCCTCTCTCAGTTTCTTCCACTCGTTTCGATTCTGTGCCCTCCTCATCCAGTTCTTACCGGCTACGGTTTGGATATCATCAGTCCATCTTTTAGGTCGGCCGACTGGGCGTTTTGCTAGGCGTGGCCTCCAGCAAAGAAGTCTTTTTGCCCATCTTTCCTAGGACTGTCTGGCCAAGTGTTCTGCCCAAGACCATTTAGAGTTAGCTATCCTCTCTACGATGTCCGTTATCCTCGTCTGTCGGCGAATGTCGTCATTTCTAATGTGGTCGCGAAGACTGATACCCATCATGGCTCTTTCCATAGCTCTTTGGCTCACTCGCAACCTGTTCACACTTCGTGCCGTCATCGTCATAGTCTCCAAACCATAGGTCATGACAGGCAAGACGCATTGGTTGTAAACGTCTCTTTTTAGGGATTTTGCTTTTGAATATAAAGTTAAGTTTACTAAAAGCTGCCCATCCGAGTTTGATCCTTCTAAAAATTTCGGTTGTTTGATTTTCCTTGCCGAGTTTTATGGCATGACCTAGATATGTATACTCGTTAACGTTCTCAATCCTTTGTCCATTAACAATAGCTTGCTCTTCATTTTCATTTAGGGTTTTAGTTTTAGACAAATTCATTTTTAAACCTACTTGCGCAGATGTGTGGTGAAGTTGTTCGAGCATTGTTTGAAGTTCTTCCAACGATGAGGCCAGGACAACGACATCATCAGCGAAGCGCAAGTGGTTAAGCATCCCACCATCTACCCTAATACCCTTCTTGTCCCAGTTCAGCTTCTTAAATACGCCCTCCAGGGCCAGGGTAAAAAGTTTGGGGGAAATATTATCTCCCTGTCGGACTCCTCTTTTCATTTTAATTTTATTTGTGATATTTATGTCATCCAGTTTGATAGTCATTTTAGCTGATTTGTAAATAGATGATATTATGCCCGAGTATCTGTAGTCTATTCTGGCATTTTGTAGGGCATCGAGGATGGCGTGTAGCTCTATAGAGTCGAAAGCCTTCTCATAATCCACAAAGGCGACATATATAGCGAAGTTGTGTTCGGTGCTTTTCTCTATGAGAGTGCGGACTACCTGAAGGTGATCCACAGTACTATATCCACTTCTAAACCCTGCCTGTTCCGGGGGTTGATAGAAGTCGAATTTGTTTGACAGGCGATTTGTCAGCACCTTTGTGAATATTTTGTAGAAGTGCGAGAGCAGGCTGATGGGACGATATAAACACCTACATATAAATTAATATAATAATATTCTTTGCTTCGCTACTATCGCTGCTCTTATCGTTTATCGCCGCTCCAACATAAACGTACCTTAAGAGCGCTTGCACACACACCGGCAAAATCGGTGCCGGAGTCGGTACCGGCTTTGCACCCGTTCCGACAGTTGTATTTAGTTCTATTGTATTTGCCGGTCACCGACTATTTTACCGGATCGGAGCATATGTGAAGGAGCTAATTTATTTATATTGCAATCGATTTCAGGACCGACACCGGCACCGATTTTGCCGGCGTGTGTGAAAGCGCTCTAAGGCTTAGCCCGATCCTGCCGAGTTAAGCAACACCCAAAATTCCAAACACACGTGCTTTGATTAAGGCTTGATCGAGGTTTGCAGAGCTTCAGCATTTGCCATAAAATAGCGGGCAGTTTGTTACAAAACCATATAAATTATATATCACTGTAATCGCAAAATTTCAATCTATTTCTTGTTGTAACGGAATTTTAAATTTTGTCTTTATTTTCGAGAAAATTTAGTCCAAACATAAGGAATGTTTTGTAGATGTTTGACCATCAAAATCTTAAAAATAAAGAAGTTGTCTAAAAATGTGCTACAATACGGGTATAGTATAATCCTTTTTCTTTAATTTCCTTCTTCAGTTGTGTAAAAATACCTAGCCAGTTTTACATAAAATTATATGCCGGGTTCAGACCAAGCAGACAAAACAACGACAAGAGAGAAATATTAATCTCTCCAAAAAAATCCTTTTTGGGTATTTCGCCACTGCACTGCAAGAAAAATCTATAAAATAAAATAGTTATTTTTTGTAAACACTTCTGGGCGTTAAACCTAAACGGACACTGCTTGTCAGAAGTTATGTTTACAGTAATACTAATTTGCCTAACAAAGAAAAAAATGCTTAACGTTTCGGAAAGTTTATCTCTTTCCGTCATCGGAAGCAAAAAAATACAAAGAATAAAGAAAAAAACTATTTAAAATAGTTAAATTCAACTATTCCAGAACACTTTACTTTTTTTAAAACAGACACGTCTACAAGAAACCGTTGATGTTCTGTTAAAATGACATTATATCAAGTTAAACTTCAAAATTAACAATTACTACCTGATAACAATTATTTAATAAGGGAAAACCAAAAAACCCAAACTTTCTGTATGATTATTTTTAAATTTTACGTATGTTATGTTTATTTATGTTCTTTAAAATGAAAGGAACGATTGCCATACATTACTAACATCTACAGATGCATGAGCAATACATTTATTTTTATTAGATTGAATTAAAAATGCTTCTTTTATTTTTCTTTTAGAGGCTATCGCTTCTTTCATTATAATTTTGGCGTTATTTAATTTTATTTTGTGACTTGTGTCCCATGAATGCTGACAAATTTTAGATTTGTGAAAATCTATCTTTCTTAAATAATCTTTATGTTCTTTAATTCTAACATTTAAGGGTCTAGGTGTTTCACCAATGTAAAATTTATCGCATTCACAGGGTATTTGGTATATTACATTTTTTGTTTGTTGTTCTGTATTCATTGGTTTTTTTTATTCATGTTTTACGGCAAAATTGCGTCACATCCAATACATTTTTGTGACATTTTTGTCTCATTTTCGTTTTGTTTCAAAATTCGGAGACTTTTCAATGTCCCGTCTAGGGTCGGTAAAGATCAAAGTGTCTATGTTTTGTTCGTATATCTTACGACAAATTGTCGGCGCAGTGTGGATGGCGTGTGCTGCGAACAGTAGACCAGTGAAATTATACATGGTCTTCATACGCAGACCCTCCCCCTCGCAGACCGCAAGATCAAGCGAGTCTTGATTTGAAACAAACAAATTATGTTACAAATTGCTATACTTTGAAGGAAAAACTAGGTCTTCATCGAAAGGTCGAGTTTTTTCTCAATTAATTCGTACAATTAACAAGTACCAGAGTTTTGAAACCGTTTCTCTTAGAGCATCGATACACATGCGAAATATACTTACAGTTGGAAAGATGCCACCATGGCGTATAAGGCGAAACAACGTTTTTCGTTTATTATTTACGCCTTGAACTTTACGAATTTAGCGAGCGTTTCGATTGAGTGGCACCGTTATTACGGATTCATCAGGGTCAGTGAATGGAGATGTTCCATTACATCGGTTAAGCGAACTGACTGTTCGAGAAATAAATTATTTAGAGAAAAGGACATGCGCATGTTCCAAGTTGATTTTCCATTTGATATTAATTAAGAACAATTTATTAAATTAATTTTGAGTTGGAAGTTATTAATGGATTTTAAGCATTTAAAAAAAAAATCTGCATGAAACAACAAACGAAAATGGACATTTACTGATTTTGTAAAGAAAAAAAGATGATTATTAAAAGCACATATATCAAAAGGAGAGACATATATTTAAGGGTACATGGAGGTCATGATATGGAGTAACAACTAACCAAATAGATCATGTCGCAATTGACAAATTGGAAGAAAAATGGATTACAAAAGTAAGATCGTACAGAGGCCCCGATGCAGATTCAGACCACTTCATGGTGGGTATCAACGTAGAGCAGATCATATCAGAGAAGAGGAACCAGACAAACAAAAAGCAGAGATGATTTTATTCCGAGATTAAACCAAATAAGACACAAGTGGACACAGAGAATCAAAACGATGGTTTGATGAAGAATGTAAAATGGACTTAGAAGTTAGAAATAAACTAAGATTACAGATGTTAGAAAAAGAAACACAACCTAGAATAGAATACGCGAAACAAAGAAGAAGAACTAAAAACGTACGAAGAAATAAAAAGAGGAAATTTTATGAAGAAAGCTTAATGAAAATAGAAGAGCATTATAAAACAAAGCAAATTAAAAATTTATATTTCAGACTGTGGAATGAAAAAAAAGGATACCGAGGTAGGGAGACACTATACAGTATGCCCCCGGATTGTCTTTACAAGAGCAGAAAACTAAATTTATGGAGTGGTCAGATAGGAATTTTTAGAAGGGAAGATGTCTAAAATAGATTTTGAGAGAGGGAAACGATAAGTTGAGAGAAAGTAGATACTTTCACATATCTAGGAACCGTATTTCTAAGAAAACGAAATGTAACTCAGGAAATTGTGGCAAGAATAATGACGGGAAATAGATGTGTTAGCGCACTACAGAAAATTATTAAGAGTCAGAACATCTCTAGAAGTTTAAAAATCAGAATGTACCAAACAATGATACGACCAACAGTGCTGTATGCATGTGAAGGGCAGAGACAGGCGAAAAGGTTCATTGTAGAACATTCGCCAAAATTCACGGTAGACTTGATAAGCAAGGACAGAAAGACAGTCAAAGCTGTAGTAGGTCTACTAACAGGGCATTGTAAGCTAAATAGGCATCTAAAGCTGATGGGATTGACAGACGAAGCTATGTGTAGGTTCTGTCAATCTGAAGAAGAAACGTCAGAACACATTTTATGTCGGTGTGATAGCCTGGCAAATGTGCGGTTCCCGGTAATAGGCAATGATAGGCCATTGCCAAGGAGCTACATGGAGGGTTCAGTCTCCAAGTTGCTAAACTTTGTAAAAAGGATAGGACTGGAGAATGTAATCTAAGGATCAGAAGAGGACCACAATAGATCTGAGAAGGTCGCAGTGGATCAGGCCGAAAGCCACCTCTAAGAATCTAATCTAATCTAATGCATGTGAAACGTGGACGTTCAATGCAACGGAAAGTTCGAGGCTAGAGATTTGGGAAAGAAAAATACTGAGGAAGAAAAATACTGAGGAAGCCTACCATACCAATAGGTATGGTAGGCTATTAAGATCGGCAAAAAAAATATTTTTTAATTTTACTCAAAATGAGTTATTTGGGTCATAAATGAGCTAAATACAAAATATTTTCGTGGTGTCTGTCTGTCTGTCTATCTGTCGGTCTGCCGTCTGTAACACGATAACTAAAAAAACCGCTTAACCGATTTTAACCAAATTTGGCACAAAAATACTGTGGCACCTGAGAATCTGGCCATTAGTTTTTGTTGGGGGTGGGGGGTTGGTAAGGGGGTTTAGGAGGGGGTTAAAATTTAAAAAAAATCGTAACTCCAAAATTACAGTAGCTAGCGAAACGCGGTTTTCAAATTAAGATTAGGAATAATATTTGCAACAAAATTTGTAATAACATCAAAATCAGTCAGACTCGCAGTTTTCGAGATATTAACATATTTTAGTATGGGCGGCTATACGTGCCTCCCGGCGCCATTTTTTTTTATATTATTTATGTTGTATGACATTTTTTCAGCAACTATAATAAAACCAATAAAACCCCTTATATTTTGAGCAGTGCTTTTGCATTATATATGGCGTTGGACGTGATAAATTTCGATGTTTTTTAAACGTAAATATTTAAATGTCTAGCATTACTTATACATATCATCCAACAAAATTACTCATTTTAATTTTGCAATATTAATTTTTCCGCTAAATAAATATTTGGCAGCGCGTTGCGGCATTTCTTTTGGCTAACGTTATTTATTTTATATGTTTTTATTTATACAGTGTAGGTACACGATGCAGGGCAATAAAAACTTTGCGTTTTGAGCTAAAACTAGAAAATTAGAAAATAAAAATGCAAACATTGTATGTAGAAGGGATTCACAAAAGCTTGTTAAAGTATTTTTTTTTTTTTTTTTTTTTTTTTTCACTCTTGGCTTTAGATCGTTGGGGTTGCAAAGATGTTTCTAGATTTTGTTCATTATTTTTTTATTTTGTGACGACGTTTCGACAGTATATGTCTTTTTCAAGCCTCTTGAACGTAGATTCTTACAGAGTTAAAATTTGTTAGACTGGACAACACAATAACACATATTAACTATTGTATTTAATTGTTTTTGGACATTACACTTTACTATAGAGCACGTACGTATTTATCGGTTCAATACCCGATGTCTACTAATATACCTCGATGATCTACTTATTGAATTATTATTCGGTATTATGTATCTCTACTACACACGAAAATGTGATACCCTTTATATTACTAGTAATTTTGTAGTATGGATGCGAGGGTGATATATGAAAAATTAGCAAGTAATATAGCAAGCATTCTTAATATACCGTGTGGTCCATCGGAACACGGGACATAGGAAATCCCATGTAAATTTTGAGAAGGTAAAATATTATCTCCCCAGATGATTCTATGCGAAAAACTGTATTAGACTTTTTTGAAGAGGCGTTAAAGTTATATTTTCATCTAGAATTTCGTTTTATTTGGAATAGGTATCTAAAAGTTATTTGCAAAAATCTACCTTCAAATTACTAAAAATTTATAATACGGCCCAGAGAAAGCTACAATTAAAATACCAGCAAAAATATGATTTTATAATTGTCAAATTCGATGTCACATTTTTGTTGTTTACAAGAATTTATGTGGTTAGGAAAGGATGGTTATTTTTTTCTGAATTGGAATGATCATCTACAAAAGAATTAGTTGAACTGTGTTCGCGGTGTATGACTTAATTGCTGTTCATTACCTGATCACTCCCAGGCTTCGCACATACCACTTACACCCACAATAATTTAACAAATAAAATAAATATTTGTGACTAAATGAACTTTAATTAACTATACTAATTAATAAAATATTTACATCCACCATTCACAGCCACACAATACCCCAAATTATTGTTAAATTCACGCCTCACAATACAAAGCTGTTAAGGGGTGAATCTTCAGCTTCTTCAGAGATATCATTTCTAGTTCATCTAAATATCTGTATTTAATATGCCCATAAAGACGGTTTTTGAGTGTTCTCCACAGGAAGAAACCGTTCAGTGAAAGATCCTGTGGTATTTTCCTACTGTAATCTCAATAGAAGGAAGCCAATGTTTTTCTTTCCTTCAACATGAAGAATATTCAAGTTATTATTGTTTTCTTCCTGTTCAGTTATTTTTGTCCTCACATTTCTATGTTCTTAAACAGAGCCTTTAGTTTCAAACCTCTGTCTAGTTTATTCTTTAAACTGCTGAATTATTCGGTATAAGCTTTCCGGAGATTGAGCTGCGAACAAATGTAACACAGCGGGAATACTATTTCCAGCAAAATGCCGTTTACCAATCGTTACTTTTTCAGAAGTTGCGAATTATATTATATATGGGCTCTGGTGCACAATACTGCCCTCCTAAGCTAGAACGCAGTAACTCCTAATTTTGTCATTTTGGAGTTACTGCATTTCTAACATGCCTAGAACTTTTTTGTATCTGTCTAACTAAGCAAAAAAGCAGTATTGGCAATCCATATTGAAATAAATGGCTAAAACGTTTGCAGTATCTCCACTTTTTTGATGTTCATACATATCTAAAGAGCAGTATCTGACATTTGCTTGACTAAAATGCAGTATGTCCAATTTTGTCTGGAGATACTGCCTTTATGTCTAGGATCAGCTGACATGCAAACATTTTTATTGTATGTGCGGCAGATCTCAGTCGCGTTTGCACGTGTATCAGATAACATAAACATAACCAACAACTGCATAATTTGTGTTTTATCAGCAAGTAATAAAAAAAGTGATAGTGTTAGTTTGGTAAAAGATATTTCGAGTAATTGGTAAGTACTTTCTTCACAATGTTTATTGTCATTTACTTTTTTCTTTCTATTTTTTTTAAATTCGGGAGTTTACTTGAGCTCTCTATAACAACGATATTAATTATTTATATCAAAAATATTGTAGGTTTGTCTCAGTTGTTTGATCAGTTTCCTACTTGCCATTTAAAAAAAAACCTTAAACGTGCTTCTGTCTGATACCTATAAACATAACAATTATTATTCATATTATTCGAATGTGGTATTTTTCCTTGCTTCAGATTTGCTCTGTAAATTACTATGGAGAACAAGAAGCACGGTTATCGGTGGAAACTGATTAAGAAGGGTCTTCAGAATAAGGTGCCAATAAATGTAATTGATGTGCAAGCTATATCTAGCAATGTGATCGAACAGACAGAATCAAATGAGTATGTTACATTGAATCCGCTGAGCCTCTACAATGCTGATATCTCCAAATCTGGTTCAATTGCTGCTTCGCCATCTGAAGATAACTTAGACGGTCCTTCATTAATGCCAGAACCACCTTCCACTGAAATTATGGCCGCTGCGGAGCCGGACTTTCCTAATTTGAATCAGGATGCAAATATTCCAATATTTGATTCCAATCACTTGGAATTCGAATATCCCCACTTACCTAAATTCAATGCTCCATCATTGCCTCTGCTGATCCATCCAAATGGAATCATGGATGCAAACATTTCATTGCTTGATTCTGAAAACAGTGTTGTCGACGATCTTCATCATTATGACTTACCCGATTCTGATACCCCATCATCACCAGTACGCCACACCCAAGACGTTATGGTTGCTGATACTGATGAAGCACAATGTTCTTCAATAAATACAATTCAAGATACAAACATGCCCTTATTAAATTCTGACGACTCTGTGGACGATCCCCATTACTTACCTGACTCTGATACTTCATCTGATCAACCTTTGAGCAAGATTCGTAGAAAATTAAAGAAAACCTCAACTGATCAAAGTGGAGATGTGGCTGAAGTCGTTCAGCCTGATGAACAGTACACTAAAAGAACGGGAGAACTTAGAAAAAGGAAGAAGTTTTGTAAAACCGTTGCAGAAAGGAATGCTGATAAACTGGAAAAAGTTAAAACTAAACATACGGTTCGAACAGGTTGTGGACCATGCAAGAAAGGATGTGTTGGAAAAATTGTGGAAGATCAGCGTATATCAATCAATAGGGACTACTGGATGATGTCCTGGCAGGAACGTCAAATTTTTCTTTCGGCAACTATTTCAACTATGGAAGTGAAACGGCGAAGAGGTTCTGGAATGTCGAGGACAAGGTCTTGTAAATACTTTTTGAAAAATGCAAACGGTGAAAAAGTGGAAATCTGCAAAGTGTTCTTTCTGACTACACTGGGATATGATCGCAAAAACGACCGAGCTATCACCAATATTATTAATAAGGAAAGTAATGCTACGAGCGTGCAAGATAAACGAGGAAAGCACCCCAAAACTCCTAAAACGGATCGAAGTGTTATAAAAACACATATTGAATCTTTTGGACCTACCATTTCCCATTACAGAAGAGAACATGCGCCGAACAAAAGGTATTTAGCTAGCGATATCAACATCACTAACATGCATAAAGATTTAATGGCAAAATATCCCGACATAAAGTGTTCTTACGAGTTATACAGAAAGTGTGTTTCAAAGGATTGTAATATTTCATTCACTAAATTGGGTCACGAGGAATGTGAAACATGTGAAATTTTTAAGATGCATGATCCAAAACATACCCAACAAAATCTAATTCCGGACTGCGAGTCGTGCAAGGCATGGGAAAATCATATTAGTAAAGCAAAGAATGCCCGTGAAAAATACAGGACTGATGCTGCTAATGCTGGTTCCGATGAAACATCCATAATTGTTTCTGCAGATTTAGAAAAAGTTATAATGCTGCCTAGGATCGATATGTTTAAGCAGGTGATATTTTGTCAACGAATTATTGTGTTTAACGAAAGCTTTGTACCGATTGGCAAGAAGCAGCAGATCAAACCTTTTGCTTGCCTCTGGCATGAATGCATCTCCGGGAGAAAAAAAGAAGATTTGATCAGTACCTTTCACGTTTTCCTCATCGCCATGCGAGACTTTGAGAACATAACCATCTGGTTAGATAATTGTTCCGGACAAAATAAAAACTGGGCCCTATTTTCCTATCTGACGTATATCATTAATTCACCTGAAACAGCAACAAATAAACTGACTTTGCGATATTTTGAGCCAGGACATACTTTTATGGCGGCAGACAGTTTCCACCACCAGGTGGAGCTATCTCTACAACAAAAGAAGAAAGTATACGATTTTGCAGATTTTGTAAATTGTGTACAAGCTGCAAATTCAGGAAAAGTGGCCGTGAAGGAAATGAAGCTGGAGGACTTCTTTGTTTGGCCCGATAATTCTTCCTCTTACAAAATCAAACAATTGATTCCAAGACCTTATATGAAAGACATTGTGGAAGTCATTGCTGAGAGAGGAAAAAACGAACTCGTTTACCGGACAAGTTTTGATGCAGAGGTGAATTATAATATGAATTTCTTAAATAAGAAAGCTATACGTCGACTGGATCTTCCACCAAGAATAATTAAACCAAGAGGAATCACAAATGAGAGAAAACGCAACATCGAGAAACACTTGCTTCCTTTAATACCACAAAATAGACGAGTATTTTGGGAAACACTTCCTGTTGATGACAACGCGATCGACCTAAGAAATTCAGACGATAAGGAATAACTTTCAATGACAGAATTATTCAATAAATTATATCATTTTTAACTTTCATTTGTTTTTGTCGTAGGCACTAATATTGCAGCATCCCTCTTTTTTTATTCCATGTCGCTAGTCTACAACGCAGCAACTCCCAAATTTTTACAATACTGCAAAACTGACTAGCACAAAAACAAATTTTGAATTCTATATACTACACTAAAACGCAGTAACAGCTTATTTTTGATTAAATTGTTTGATTAAATCAATTTCAAATATCAAAGTAGTTAGAAAAAGTGATCATCCATTATTATACTTAGTTCTAGAATATTACATGCTTGTTTACCTGCTCGCCCAGGAAAAAAACTTTAAAAGTTCATTATCTCAATATCACTAAAAGTGGAGATACTGCTTTGTTAGTTAGGAGGGCAGAATAGGTCCCCACGCATTTAACACTTTTTTGGGATTTTTTTGCAAGATTATCTTAAACTGAATATTTTTAAGCATAAAAATTGTTGGATGAATGTGTTTTATCTTTAAAAAGCGGCAAAAAAACGTATTTTAGGTACAGGCGACGGACAGTAAATATGTTAAATTTTCTACACGGATTCAGTAAAAACATCACATATTAGTACTTTATTACCTTATATAGACGTGGAATGATCTAATTTAAGCACAAAAAGTAACGAATCTTCTTTGTAAGCATAAAAATTAAGAAAATATATTTATTTACATCAGCTCAAGCTAGCAATTTTATGACTTTTCGATTGACAGTTAATCGATCATCGGTATGTCATCTATGGCCTTCGCATAGAATTTGCGACGTTGTCAATAAAATTACTTTATATGATTTTCTTCTGAAATAAAGTTGTTGTGGAGGGACTTAAAACGGTAAGTTATCACTTTAGTGCAACAAAAATTGAACTGTCTAGTAGCTTATTCGCTAGTGTGGATTATTTTAAAGCAATTTCTGAAATAAAATTTGCGGATTTTCAGGTTCTACGAAAATATAAGTTTTTTTAATATATACTGTTTTTCGACGAGTAATCAATGAAGTTTTGTCATTAGGCTCAATTAGGTTAGCCTGGTTATTTAGAAGGTGGTAATGCATTGGTTAGCCTGGTTATTTGGAGGGTGTTAATGCAATGGTTAGCCTGGTTATTTGGAGGGTGGTAATGCATTGGTTAGCCTGGTTATTTGGAGGGTGTTAATGCATTGGTTAGTCTGGTTATTTGGGGGTGTTAATGCATTGGTTAGCCTGGTTATTTGGAGGGTGGTAATGCATTGGTTAGCATGGTTATTTGGAGGGTGTTAATGCATTGGTTAGCCTGGTTATTTGGGGGTGTTAATGCATTGGTTAGGTTAGGTTAGATAGGCTGGTTATTTGGAGGGTGGTAATGCATTGGTTAGCCTGATTATTTGGAGGGTGTTAATGCATTGGTTAGCCTGGTGATTTGGAGGGTGTTAATACATTGGTTAGCCTGGTTATTTGGGGGTGTTAATGCATTGGTTAGGTTAGGTTAGATATTCTGGTTATTTGGAGGGTGGTAATGCATTGGTTAGTCTGGTTATTTGGAGGGTGTTAATGCATTGGTTAGCCTGGTTATTTGGGGGTGTTAATGCATTGGTTAGGTTAGGTTGGTGGGGAGTGTTTGGAAGTACGCAGATCACATCGATTTCGGAATCTTACTGAACAAATCCGGGAAAAATATATTTTTAAACAATTGTGCTAAATACTGTGTAATGATTTTATTGTCAATTTATTTTTTATAATGTTTTTTGTTTTGCCTCGTTTATTATATTTTTAATTTTTCGTGTTCTTAAAGTGCGTACTAAATGTAAAAAAAATGAATATAAAGTAGAACGTTTTCGTCGATTTTACACAGGGTGAGTATGGCAACACTGTGCATAACCTTGTATTTTACTGTCTTTATGAAGGTTATAATAGGGAGTTTTCGCATTGAAATGTAGTGAAAATTTGGAATTTTCAATTATTTTTTTTCGTAGAAAAAGTGGTTCATTCAACAATTTTTTTCTTTTAAACCATTCCATTAACTATGGGATCCACATTAAAAATTAAAAAAACCACGATTTCGTGGGGACCTGTTCTGCACAAGACCCCAAACCTCTGTCTAGTTTATTCTTTAAACTGCTGAATTATTCGGTATAAGCTTTCCGGAGATTGAGCTGCGAACAAATGTAACACAGCGGGAATACTATTTCCAGCAAAATGCCGTTTACCAATCGTTACTTTTTCAGAAGTTGCGAATTATATTATATATGTATAATGATATATTATATTATTTTATACAAAATTACTGTATTTGGTACCTTCAAATTTTTGTAAACGAAATGTGACATCGAATTTGACAATGACACAATCACATTTTTGCTGGTATTTTAATTGTAGCTTTCTCTAGGCCATAATTATAAATTTCACTAATTTGAAGGTAGATTTTTGCAAATAACTTTTAAATGACTATTCCAAATGAAACGAAATTCAAGTCAAAAGTACAACTTAAACGCTTCTTCAAAAAAGTCTAATACAACTTTTGCATAAAATTATCTGGGGACTTAAATTTTTGGACCTTTTCAAAATTTATAAGGGATTTCCTATGTCCCGTGTTGTAATGCACCACACAGTATAATACCAAAGCAAGCATTTTTAATTATCGTTTGCAACCATTAGCATCTTTTAATAATTTTATTACACTATGAGATTCTTAAGACGAAGTAATAATATACATTCTCTATTCTTAACCTTGTAAATGTTAATTTAAAATATCGTATCATAGGTCGGCAATTAGTAGTAGTAGATGTTTACTTACCTAGTTTGGCAACCAGCTGAAGAACAATGCTTTCACCCGCGATTGCCCAACGCACTTCGAAAGCCAGCTTGTCATTCAAAACTTCGCAGTTTAATTTTGACTGAAAAACAAACAGAATAAATAAAAACACTATAAAATCCACTTAGTTTTTAATATTCAACACTGTCAATTGTCTAATATCAATAACTTTGAGGATAGCATTTAAGGGTATTTATGTAGTGTTTTAAGAAAAGTGTTATTTGAAAAAAAAATCTTTCCACTACTGAGTTTATATTTTGAAGATAATTTTTGTTTTACACAGGGCGATTCAAAAAAACATGTGCCATTTCTCATGGGGAGATTCCTCACATAAAAATAAGATTTGTTTTTCATATCAACATAGGTCCGATTCTGCCTTGTTTCCTTGCTACAGGGTGTTAAAGTGTTAATATTTTTTCGATTTATTATAACTTTTCTCCAAGTGCTTTTAGCGATTCGAATGAAATTTTGAAGGTAAAAGTTACTATAAATGCGACATATTTTAATGCTAAAAAAGTGTCCACATATTCACCAGGGAGGTGCATATGAGTTATCACTGGAATATTTAAAAAAAAACATGTGCGTCACTGACTTTTTCTTGTTAGCAAAATTGTGTAGAGCGTTTAATTATTGTCTGTTGATATATTGTCGATTTCGATTGAGATAAACGCAATTTTATTAATTTTCCTTAATCCAAGTCCAATAACAACCTTTAAAATTTTTAATGTCATTAACTGGCCAAACTGTTAAATAAGAACTCATTGATCCTCATCAAAAAATATGAAAAAAAGTTCCTATAAACATGGGTGCGGAAATACATAGTTTTAAAATTAAAGGAGGTAAAACTTTAAAAAAATAGGTATTTTGTATTTATCTTAAACACCATTTGTTTAAAATTGCTGCAGGTATCACTGATTTTCAGTGTTATACATTTTAATAAAATTTAATAATAAGTTAGATTAAATTAATAATTTATTAATTATATTTTTATTAATTGTGATTAACAAAATTGCGTTTATCAAGGAACTCGAAATCGACAAAATATCAAGATACAACTTTTAATCGGCATTAATTTAAAAACAATTTTTCTAGCATGGCAAAAGAAAGTCACTGCATCACATTTTTAAGATGCATATCTCTGTTGAATTTCGACACTTTTTCAGCATTAAAATATGCAGCACATATAGTAATTTTTATCTTGAAAATTTCATTCGAATCACTAAGAAGCACTTGGAAGAAAATTATAATAAATCGAAAAAAAATTAAGAAATCGCCCTACGTGAGATGGCATATGTTTTATGAAACACCCTGTATAAAAGGATTGTCTGTTTTTTTCAATGGAATTATATGCAAAGATATTTTTATAAAGAATATTTTAACAATAGGTAGGAAATAATTGGTTGAACAATTGTTGATGATTATTTTGATCTTGGTTTCCCCTAACTTGGTTTAGAGCAGTGTTTTTCAATCTTTTTGATTTCGCGACCCCTTTACAGGTTGAAATATTCCGGCGACCCCCTGTGTCATAGAAAGCCAAAAAATAACTTAATTAAATGACTACATACGTTAGGTAATTATTTTTTCCCATTTTGTTACATTTATTGTAGTATTTGTGCGCTTTGAAACAGATACCAGTATCAGGGAAGAAATTTTAATTTTTAAAGCACTTCGTGCAAACACTACTGGCCAGTGATTATACGATATGTTTTTAGATAGTACTTGCGACTACGATATTGATTGGAAAAAATGTATCGCTATTTTAGCCTAAGAGCTGACGACATATTTAGAGAACATATTTTAGGCAAGCTAGAATAACTAAAAATGTATAGTTTATTAACTGGTGAACCCAGAATCCTAAGTCTGACTGGGGGGTTGGGGGTATTTCGCTACTGCGCAACCCATAACATTTGCAAAAAAATAAATCCAAAAAACATTCTTTAGGCAACTTGAAATTTGTTTATTCTTAAATATTAGCATCTATTTAACCTAGAAATAAGTATGCCAGACTTTTTTTTCGGGTTTAAAGTATAACCCGACCATTCCAAATATGTTTAATTATTATACCTGGAAAACATACTTTAGGCATTCTAAAATTTTTACAGCGTGTTTATTAGATGATATTAAAAAATAGGTGTTAATTGCGAGACGAATTCAATGGGATTTAATACTTGCCAGACGCGAATAAAGATTTTAAATGAGCGCGATAAGAAAGTCTTATGAGTATCTATGTTTAAGCGCGAGAAAGATAGTTTCATAGGATAGTTTATTGAGACCCGGTCGGCAGCCGATGCGGCTGACGTAACAGCATTTTGGAGTCGTAAAAACTTAAAAAAAAACTAGCTAATGTATAAGAAGTAATATATAAACAGAAACATTTTTTAATAAAAATGTATGATTGAAATCTTTTCAATAAGAAGATTTTTTAATTTAAGTATTTTGTATCTGAAAGAATAAAAAGACGAATAATTATTTAAAAATTAGCATAATATAAAATATATTTTTTTCAAACGTCACAAAAGTATAATTATTATTATACTTTTGTGACATATTATATTATTATTAATTTTTGCGACCTGATTGACAATATAAAAAGTCATTTTAACGCCTAAGCATAAAAGTAAATCACTTTTACTTACTTTTGAATCTATTTAGAAAGATTAACAATGGTACTTTAATGAAATTCCAGAATACTTATTTTTTTAGCACTGTACATGGTACCCTTTTACCGGGACTACGTTTTCTGGTAAAACCACTTCTTTAAATTTTAAACCACGTTGTTGGCGCCCTTTTAAAAATTCTTTGCATTTTGTAGTCTGCCTTCATCAAAAACAATAACTTTGTCACTAGTAACTTTTTTACAAACTACACAACTTAAATGTTTTTTATCCATTGTGATTTAGTAGTTAGTAGCGAAATTAGTAGTTACTAAAATATTTACTTGCAGTAATTATTCTAAACTATTTACACTATGCACGTCAATATTTAATTTATAAATACATATTTGTACATATGGTAACTTAATTCCACCAAATAATCTCTGAATTAAAAGCCTGCAAATAATTGAAATGAAACCGAAAAAAAATTGTTTTTATGAAAATTTGAAGTACCTACTCCAAAATACTGTTAAGTCAGCCGCATCGGCTGCCGACGGGCCTCAATAAACTATGTTTCTCGCGCTTATAGATACTCATAAGACTTTTTTGTCGCGCTCATTTAAAATCTTTATTCGCGTCTGGCAAGTATTAAATCCCATTGAATTCGTCTGGCAATTAACACATATTTTTGAATATCATCTAATAAACACGCTGTAAAAATTTTAGAACGCCTAAAGTATGTTTTCCAGGTATAATATTTAAACATATTTGGAATGGTCTGGCTACACTTTAAACCCGAAAAAAAAGTGTGGCACACTTATTTCTAGGTTAAATAGGTGCTAAAATTCAAGAATAAACAAATTTCAAGTTGCCTAAAGAATGTTTTTTGGATTAATTTTTTTGCAAATGCTATGGGTTGCGCAGTAGCGAAATACCCCCAACCCCCCAACCAGACTTAGGATTCTGGGTTCAAAAGTTATTAAACTTTTTTTTGTTATTCTAACTTGCCTAAAATATGTTCTCTAAATATGTCGCCAACTCTCCGGCTATTTGTAGCGATGGCGCTAAAGCTATGACTGGCAAAAAGAGCGGACTTATTGCAAAGTTAAAAGCGATGATGCCAAACATATCCTGGACACACTGTTTTCTGCATCGACATGCTCTAGCTGCTAAGGTAGTACCTTCTGATTTAAATGACGTGCTCAAGGAGGTAATAAAAATTGTGAATTCTATCAAAGGTAAAGCTTTGCAAACCCGGCTATTCAGAATCATTTGTGAAGATATGGGCTCGCTTCATCAAAATCTCCTTTATCACACAGAGGTCAGGTGGCTATCCAAAGGAAAGGTATTGACCAGAGTTCTGGAACTCAGAGCTGAATTGTTAATATTCTTACAAGATGCAAAATCTGAATATGCTTCTCGTTTCTCTGACACTATTTGGCTCTTGAAATTATTGGCTCTTGAATATATTGCATTTTTGGCAGATATTTTTAGCCACCTTAACAATTTGAACAAGAACATTCAAGGAACAGAGGAAATTATGTTAACAGCGAAAGATAAAGTAAAAACATTTCACGCAAAACTTCGTTTGTGGTCAACCTCTCTGCAAAACAAAATGTTCGAATTTTTTCCATGTGTTCAGAAGATTATTGAAAATAATGCAACAGATTTTAAACCCTTTTTTGGACAAATCAATAGATCTGGCTGATGTCACCACAAAAATGAAAGAATGTCTTCTAGATTTAGCCGTTGATGGCATGCTTAAAATGGAATTTTATTCACAAAGTGTCGACGTATTTTGGATAAAAAGGAAACACGAATATCCAGAGCTGGCAAGGGAAGCTCTTAAATTATTAGTGCTATTCGCCACTTCATACTTGTGTGAACTGACATTTTCTTCAATGGTAGACATTAAAACTAAAAAGAGAAATAGACTGCAATTAGAAAACGATTTGATTATTAACGTTTCAAAAATAGCATCAAAATTCGATAAACTTTAGAAAAATAAACAAGCATATCCTTCTCACTAAAATTGTTTTTGTGTGTGAACTTCGACTGTTTCTTTCAGCCGACGACCACCTAACCTAACCAAGTAAGACTGCGCGATCCCCTAGAGGTCGCGAACCACATATTGAATAACATTAGTTTAGAACACAGTTTAAAGAATATAAATATATCAGTTGGTCCACTCTAAGGAATTCTATTGTTATTTTGACTTCAAAGGCGGCCCGTGACCCTTCGAAGTGACAAAAAATTTGTACGTTTACCGGGTGCAGCGGAAGTGCTATTTTATCAGTCAGAACGCTGGCCGTATACGAGGGATCCACTAAAAATACTAAGGAATTTTAATATAGCAAGTAGAAAAATAAAAATACAGTACTAGTTGTGTTGATTAACAGTTTTAGGCGTCTTTAATAATTGATCAATATTTATTAGTATTTAGTATTAAATATACATTAATATTAAAATATTAAATATATTATTCTAT